GAGCTTTATTTATAGTGCTAGGTTTAGGAGACTTAGAAAAATAAAGGATTCTTTATTTTTGTTGAAAAATGACTCCTTTTACTTGGTGAAGAAGGATAAATATTGGATAAATTTAGATTTCTCTCTTTTTTTGTTTTTTTTTTCTCACGTTAAAATGATGAGGGGGCCGATTTTATGTGCTCCAAATTATCTTAAATTAATACTCTTTCTTCTTTATTGCTTAGTATCTTAATTAAATAATAAAATTATGATTAAACGGATTTTTAATTGCCAAATTAAATAGATGGGGACATCTACTTAATGTCTATTTATTCTCCATTTATTAATATTAAAATTAAATGGACAAGGACGACCACTTAATCAAATTAAAATTCCAAGCTTAGAAATAAAATAAAAATGCATGAAATTAATTATGCTCGTTTGGGGCGCTACAACCCAGGAATGAGCCAACTATTACTCACCTGATGTTTGCTGATGATTCTTTGGCTTTTTGCAAGGTCGAACCTTCTCAATCTATTCTATTGAAGAATATCCTCCACTCTTATATGCTTTTTTCACGACAGAAGGTTAATCTCTCAAAGTGTATTGTTTTCTTCAGCAAAAATACCCAAAGTGTTGCTCAACAATCCAACTGCTGCATTCTAAATGACATTCAAATTCATAGTTCAGCAAGGTATCTAGGACTACCCCTTGGGATTGGCAAATCCAAAGAGGATGCTTTTGACTTTATATTGCAAGCTGTCAGGAATAAGATCATCAACTAGAAAAATAAGTATCTATCTACAGCAGGTAAGGAGGTTTTGATCAAAGCTGTAATTAATGCTCTTCAAGTCTTTGCCATGTCCTGTTTCAAGCTCCCTATTGGAACATGCAAGGAGATAACTCAAATTTCAGCTCATTTTTTGTGGAGTAAAAGTAACGACCAGGCTTGAGGGATTCATTGGAAGAGATGGAGTCTGTTAACTCGACCAAAACAAGATGACGGTCTTGGGTTCCAAGATATTCAACTTTTTAGTGAGGCTTTAATTCTCAAGCAACTCTTGAGGATTACTTCTCAACCTCATCTTCTGTCAGCAAAGTTTTAAAGTTTAGGTACTACCTTAACTCAACCATCTTTGAAGCTGAGAGAAAGCCTTCTTCTTCCTGGCTTTGGAATAATTGGGTTGGATGTTTACCTCAATTTGCACAAGGATTGAGAAAGGAAATCAAGAGTGGCAGACAAACTAAAATCTTGGATGTTGGATGGGTACCCTCACTTGCTGGAAAAAGTCCTTCACCTGCAAGGCCTTGGAGGAATTCTCTAATTTGGATCAGTGATCTAATTGAAGATGGAGGATTGAGATGGAACTACAGTCTTATCATGAGAGTATTATGTGAGGAAAAAAGCTTAGCAATCATGCAGATCAATAGTCTTGATCCTTTTCAGGAGGATAAGTAGAAGTGAAGTTTACAAAAGAATGGGGCTTTCTCTGTAGCCAGCTCTGACGAACATCTCATGGAGAAGAAGGTCTAGCACCTTGATCAAGCTAAAGGTAGCTCCTCAACCTTAAGAGATTGGAGAATTAGAGACAGAAGTTGGAAGGTGAGAGTCAAAGGCAAAGGAAAACACTTCATCTGGAAGTGTTTTATTGGGATTCTCCCTGTCAGCCTGAATTAAAGGCCAAAAGGAGTTAAGGTGGATGTCGTTTTCGCAATGTGTGGTGAAGACCTTGAAACTATTGACCATTTATTCCTTAATTGTAGGAGGACCAAAAGAGTGTGGAAAGTAGCACCTCTTGATTGGGATGTGATTCAAACTCAGTCTGGGAGTTTCAAACAATGGTGGTGGCAAGTGTGTTCTACTGTTAGTCTGCACCCTCTGAGGCCCGCATCTAATTATCAACTTACATATTATGGTGGTTGGGAGGTCCAGGAATCTCTGGTTTTTTCAAGGAGTGAAGCTTCCGGAGGATATCAGAACGAGAAGAGCCTGGCAAGAATGGCAGATGTTTTCTCTTCTGGCCTAGTGTGGAATTTCTTGAGTTTCTATGTTTTGGCTTGTTGGTCTGGTTGTTGTTTTGTTTTCTTTCTGTCTAGGAGTTGGTCTTTGTGTTTTTGTTGGTTTGCTGTTGTTTGGCTTAAGGTGGTTTCATCCCGGTATTCCAGTGTTCATGGTTACTACCCCTAGATGTGTTAGTAGGGTTGTGTTTGTAGGCCACTTTATAGTGGTTCTCTAAGTGTGTTTTAGCTTGTGTGGGTTTGTTACTCTGGATTGTACGAGAACTTGTTTTTCATGGTTTGTTTAATGAGAAACTTCTCTCGTTGGAGAAAAAAAAGTAGGTTGTTGAAGAAACTAGAGTATATATCTTGTGAAAAAAATAAATTAGAAAAAAATAAAAGAAATAAACTTGAAGGTGGTAAAAGGATATAAGAGAATTTAGAGTTTGGAGTTTTTTTAATAATAGGAGAGAGAAAATAATTTGTTACGAATGTTATTTAATAAGTAAGATCATGTTATTTGCATATATATGATATTTTGTAATTAACTAATTTTCACCATGTAGAATTGAAAATAAAACTCAAGCTCGTCAAATTGAAAGATGGGGAAAAGAACTCATCTTTAATGTTTAATAGATCTTGTTGTGCTTGTTAAAAAAAAAAATTAAAGAAATGAACTTGAAGGTGATAAAAGGATATAAGAGAAAATCTCAGATTTTGAAGTTTTTTTTCTAATAATAGGATAGAAAAAATAATAGTTAGGAATGTTATTTAATAGGTAAGATACAATTTTATTATTTGCATATACATGGTTTTATACTTAACTAAAAATATTACGCTTTGTAATATGACTCGGATAAAAATTAATACTTTTTTATACAAAATAGATCAGGTTTGGATAGCCATAAATACATATATTTCATATTTTTAAACTATTTCATATATATCTATTTATTATATTCTTTCTATAATGTCCATATTATCCCACTTTCTATTTTGTTTTGTCCCTATTATATTCTCGTATGTGCTTTAAATAAAAAAATATAAATAAAATTAATGATGTATATAAACTAGTTTTTAAAATTTTGAAAAAAAATATTGTTAATTCACTTAGTTCTTTATAAATTGTATATAATGTTTTTTATTTTTTTTTTTTCTTTTTTTTCCCCGAAACGATAGAGATTTTTATAAATCAAAACGCACAAATGTGCAAATCTACAACTCCTAGTTGAATAAGACAACCAACAGCTGAATAAACTCGGAGGACAAGTTAAAAGACTGCCTAAATCCGACATTAGCAACGCTAGAAACCAAATAAAACTCGGGACACGACCAAACACAAACGATAACTAGAAAAGCTACTAAAAAAGATCCCAATAGGATAATACTGAGTGTACGATCCCAACAGGATAATACGCTCACACTCGAGCGCACAAGGGTCAACGACCCAAACTAAAAGAACGAGACCTAAACAAACAACAAAACCAAAAAAAACACATAGAACAACAAAAACTAACAACAAAATAAACGAAACGAGCCCTTACGTAGCGGAACAACCAAGCCGAACCAGAGGTCAACAGATCGACCCAAATGAAGAGATCACAGCCCAAGAAATCGCCCCCGAATCGCCTAACGAAGGACGAAATCCGAACTCTAAACTCATCAGGAGGCCGACCCAACCCCCACACCACTAGCGAAGACCGGGAGCATCAATCCCCCCAACCCCCAAACCCAGACACAAAGTTCAAGAGAGACGAGATGGATATGGCATCTCAGCCGCAGGCAATGATAACACAGAGGCCGAAAGTCGCCTGAGACACACCCAATCCATCCCCTGAACCACACCATCCCAGCAACACCGCAACACCACAAAGGCCCTCAGACAGAACTCTAACCGATTCTTGTCGAGAAAGACGACAAACGGCCACGAACATCCACAAACCATCACTGGCGCTGGGATGAGAGAAGACGCGACATCAGAAGGACGGCCGATCGGCTGCTGTGGGGAGGACCACCGGCGAAGACGCAGCGCCGCTGAGGAAGGCGATTGGAGGTGGCGGCGGATCTGCAAGGAAGAAAAGGGCGAACGAGAGATTATGGATTTTCAGGGGAGCGGCAAAAAATTATTTATTTTTTCTTAAAATTCAACAAAATATAGTTTTTTTGTTGTACATTTAATATTTTATCTAATACGTACCAGTTGAAAATAAAACTAAAGCTCGTCAACATGAAAGAGGGGAAGGGGGGGGAGGGGGAAGAACTCATCTTTATGTACTTTAGACATAATTGTTTGCTCTTTCTGTTAAAATTATTAACTAAAATTACACGATAAGAACGATTTCATTAATACATTAAAACAAGACTAAGATTACTTTAAAAACAGGGTTTTAAAATATAGGATCACGCTCCAGTGAGAATGGTTCTCAATGAAAGAAATAAGAATACATATTAGCCATTAGATCGGATGATCCAACGGCTTAATAAAAGTTAAATTATACCTTCATTAAGGTTATTATGGTAAATTTACACACAACACTTAAAGAGGTGGGACCCACTACATTAACCCCACCTGTCAACTACCAGCTAACCATATTCTACCCCACACGCCCCACCCCACCTACCAGCCAACCCATATCCCACCCCACCGCAAATACTTAGGTGCGCCCTGGCACACCTAGCAAGGTGTGTCAGGGGCAGTTTAAAATGAACATGTTATGTTACAAAATGAACATATGCAAATAATGTTTGCACATGTTCATTTTGTAACATAACATGTTCATTTTAAACTGCCCTGGCACACCTTGCTGGGTGTGCCAGGGCGCACGGTAGTAGCACTGCCACCCCACACCCCGTTCTCTCTCACACAGAAACAACACACACACATCTTCGTAAAATAAGTGATTGAACCAGAGAGGGTCGCCGGTTTTCGACGGGATCGGATTTTCTCCGTTGGGTTTCGACGCTCAGAGGTTTGGTCTTCACGAGCGAGTTCGATTTTTCTTCCAATTGCGTTGCTCTCGTTCCTAGCTGTGGTGATTGGGCTCGGGCTCGGGCTCCGGCGAGTGGGAATTGTAACCGATTTGGTTGCGGCCACCGCTCGGCGAGCAGTTGATTCCCCGTCTCCAGTTAATCGGAGATGAACCTGACGATCTCGGAGTCCCCACGATGACAACTGGGGACTCGTCGTAGATGAAGTTCCGGTGCCTGACCTGAATATGCTCTGGCGGTTTCCCCGAGTGTAGAAGTCCTTTGAGCTGCAATGCCTCGAGGATCTGTTTCAGTGTATCTAAATCCCGCGACGGCTCATCGATTCCCCTAAATCTCAATATGCTCTCGATCTCGACGTACTCCGAGGCCGCCGCCGCCTATTTCGGCTCCGGGAAGAAGTCTCCGGGATCTTTTCAAGCACTTGTAAATCGCATGGCTCTGCACAATTTTCTGATTTTCCGTTGCCAATTGCACGGCGTTTTCAGAAATTCGGTCGGAGTAATAGACTTGGATCCGTCGTCGCGAGCCGAGGAACGTCCTCTTCGTGGGGAGTGGACGACCCGACGACCAGAGATTCGCCGGCGAGATTGACGAGATTGATTTTGGGTTGATGTCTAATTTTTTAGAATTAGATATCTCTTAGGGTCCTCATTGCAATTTCAAAAAGTTTGATTAAATGTCAATTTAGTACATGGGTAAAATTTGTAATTAAGAAAAACTTTATAAAAAGTACTATTGTTTATATATCTTCTTATACATATAAATTAAAATAATAAAACAAAAATATTAAATAAAAATAATATAAAGTATTAAAATCATATACATATAATATATAATAATAGATAAAAATATTAAATTGATAAATAAACTTTTATATTATAAATAATAAATTATTTCGCTTCTTTAGGTTAATTCAGTTAATCAATTAAATAAATTGATTATTAAATAAAAATAATATAAGATATCAAAATTTTTTATAATAATAAATAAATTATACAATAAAAATAATAAATAAAAATATATTTTAATTATTTAGGTTAATTAGATGTAAAATTATATCTATTAAAACTAGTTTTCGGATACAATTGGGAAAGCATAAATTAGTGCACTTTATACAACAAAATATTGCATTTTATATAACAACGAGTCGCACTTTATAAACCAACATGTTGCACTTTATCATTAGACTCACCAATTAATGTCAATATCTCCTGCCAAAATATTACGCAATATAAATATAAAAAAAGGGAACAACATGATACTTTATATCCACAAAAATCGCACGATCATATTAACGTACCAGAATTTAAGTATTACACTTTATATATAAATACATTGCACTATATAAACCAATACGGTGCACCTTATAAAACAACACGTTGCACATATCAAAATTACAGTAATTTTAATTATCGATCAAATAATATTAGTTGGTTAATGACAGGTTTAGTTTTTATTTTTTAAATAAACAAAATAGCCAAACATGTCGAACTATATTGAAAACATATTATCGATGTTTTTATATTTTTTTTATTATGAATAATAATATTTTTTATTTATATTTTTTATGTATTGCGGGTGCACATTATGATTATGCAGATTGCACATAAATGGTTATCAGATTGCACAAAATCGAACAACATCCAACGAACATAATTTCGATACGAAGTTTTATATTTTGGTACTAATATCATTATTATTATTTTATATATCGGGTATTTCGGTACGATGACATGTTTTTTTTTTATTTAAATAACCAAAATAAAAACCGAACTACATTAAAAAATAATATTTTGTATATATTTTATACAACAACGACCACGATTAACAAGACTAAACTTTTCGATTCGTTTTATACTATTAGCAATTATCTATTTTTACTTTTAATTTTAAAAAACTGACTACACTAGTATAAATATACATCATGAGTTAATTCAGTTATTTTGATTAAATCGAATAATTGACCGAATAAATTGATCATTTATGTTCGATTCTATTTTAAATTGTGAAAAAATATACATAGGTCCGAATGTCTAACAACCGGGCACATTTACGGTCAAATCCGTGCATATTATTGTTATGCAAATCGCACATTAGTGTCTAAGCTTTTATCATCCTTCATTCAACATAAAGTCAGTGTGGGTCAATTCAGAGGCATCAGAACTGCCAAAGATGGGCCTATGCTAACTCACCTACTATTTGCTGATGATGCACTGATATTCTGTAAAGCTGATGAAATTCATGCTAATCTCCTCTTGACTATTCTGCACAATACAAGATCTTCTCTCGGCAGAAAGTTAACTTACACAAATCTTCAATGTTCTTGAGTAAGAACTGCAGTGTAGATATGACTGATAAGATCAGCTCTATCCTAAGGGGTGTAGTGGTGAAAAGATCCTCCAAATATCTTGGGCTGTCATTGGGGATTGGTGCTTCGAAAAAGGATGCATTTCAGTATGTGGTTGACTCTGTGAAAGATAGGATTGGCAACTGGAAAAATAACTTCCTTTCAACTGCTGGTAAGGAAGTACTTATCAAGGCTGTGCTGCAAGCTTTACCGGTTTTCATAATGTCCTGCTTTGTGCTGCCTCTTGGGCTGTGTAAAGACATTTGCAGAATTTTGGCAAAGTTCTGGTGGAACAAAGGAGACTTGCAATCTTCTAGCCTTCACTGGATGTCCTGGGATAGACTAACAGCTCCTAAGAGTGAGGGTGGACTTGCTTTTCAGGATATCAAAGTTTTCAACAAAGCACTTATTTTGAAGCAGTTATGGAGATTGATTTCCCAACCTGACCTTTTGGTTTGCAGAGTGCTGAAAAGTAAGTACTTTCCTACTTGCTCTTTATTTGATTGGGTGAAATCTAATGGTGACTCTTGGCTATGGAAATCCTGGGCATCTTTGTTACCTGTCTTGAAATCTCAAATGTGTGTGATTATTAAAAATGGAGCATCCACTAAGCCTAATGACTACAACTGGGTTCCTGGTGTGAAAGAAAACAACCTGAACTGAGAACTCAGATTGATGGCCATCTATTCTGGGTTAAGGACCTGCTTATTGCAGGTGGCTGCCACTGGGACTCCAACCTAGTCAAAGCACTGTTTAAGGAAGATGATGCAGAGAAGATCTTACAAATTAAAAACCTAAACCCCAGAGCTGCTGACTTGTGGAAGTGCACATTTACTGATAAAGGCAAATTCTCTGTTAATAAGGCATACTCTGAGATGATCATAAAAATGGCTAGAAGCATAGCTACGGCTGAGAGTAGCATTGCTGCTGGGAACAATTTCAGAGCTAGAAACAGATGTTGGCAACTCAAGGTGATGGGGAAAGTCAAGCACTTTGTTTGGCAGTGCTACTCTCAGATTCTTCCTGTGAAATGCAACCTGCAAGCCAGAGGGATTGAGCTGGACACACTGTGCAGTCAATGTGGTGAAGCTGCTGAAACACAAGAACATGTGTTTTTTAAATGCCCCAGAGCAGTCCTAACATGGCAGATTGCTCCAGTTCAATGGAACAGAATTCATTGTGAACAGATGACTGTGAAAGAATGGTGGTGGTGGGTGTCCTCCATGAGCTTTAAAGACATTTCTGAACACAGAATACAGCTATCCACTTACATTTTGTGGTGGCTGTGGAAAGCGAGGAACTTGTGGATCTTTGAGAAGCAATGGATGCCGAGGGAGTGGATCATCAAATCTGCATGGAAGGATTGGTCGGATTTTTCTGTGGCAAACTCCAAAACTTAGAAAGGATAGGAAATGATTGACTAGGTCTAGTGTCAGTGGTTAACTCCTTTTTTGTCTAGTGCTTGGGTTTTGTGAGTTTGATTGGAGTTATGTAATTTCTCTTTATGGGTTGTATTATCGATTGCAGTTTGAGTAGCTTGGCTCTTGGTATTGGTAGGTTGTTGTTAGTTTGTTTTGATGTTTAGTTGTTTCCGTCTAGGCCGCACTGTGTTGCGAGTCCTCTCATGTGTGCTCTATCTATCTGTACATTGCCAATATTTTGGCCCGATTTATATGATTATTTATGTCGTTGGAAAAAAAAAAAGTTGCACATGAACATTCGAAATTGACCGAAATAATATTTTCGATTCGAAACTCATATGTTAGTTCAAATATAATTTTCGAATTTTAAAAATTCGGTTATTTGTGTTCAATGTCGGCTTTAGGTTTTGAACTTTTTTTATCACTATTTTAAAATTTATTAAATTATTAATAATTTAGTACAAATATTTATCTTACAATTAATATATGTTATAATTTAAGTTTAAAAATTACAAAATAATCCCTACATTAACCTAATTTCCATAAATTAACCCCTAAATCAATACACACCCAAATCACCCCTAACATATATATCATTAGTTGTGTATTTAGCATAATTTTTGTAAATTATAAATTTGACCATAATTATATTGAAATTTTTGGAATTGCAAATAGATCCCTATAACTTATCAAATTTTTTAAAGACAAGCCCATATCAAAACTTCATGTCAGTTGCAGCGTATTGCCTCCATCCATATCAAATCTTAATCAAATTGACCGGAGCCGCCGGAAAACATCATAATCCGGGAAGAACTCACACCACGGCGGCACCACCGGCAGAGGCGGCGAGTGACCCCCCCAACTTCGGGCGCCGTCAATTCCGATGTCACTCTCATCCAGTCAGGCGGCGCCGCCTCAAAACCTGCATCTCACCCCCCTGCGCCGCCTCCGACTGCGACTAAATCGGTCTCCCCATGACCTTGCAATCTGACAGTTCACATCCGACTAGATCTACGCCGACGACGGAAGCGACGGTTCACATCCGACTAGATCTACACCGACGACGGAAGCCCTTCTGTGTCACGTTCATCTCCTATGGCGTATGACAGCGGAGTGAGCGGAGAGGGTGTTGGCCGGTCTACGGCGGGGCTGGTTGCCGACTACCGTGTCCGTGCTGTACAGCAACGGTACACCTCCGGCCATATCTTCGCCGTCGACGGAAACCTTCTGTGTCGCGTTCATCTCCGATGGCTGACGATGGAGGAGTGGCGGTGGTGTTGGTGGCCGGCCTACGGCGGGGCTGGTTGCCGGTGGTTCAATTTGTGTGTCTCCTGCGTGCGTGTGTGTGTTGTGTGAGAGAGGGTATTGAACGAGAGAAAGATAANAAAGGCACGTATTCACAAAATACGGTTTCTTAATTAAATTTTTAGCGAAAAACGTATTCCGTGAATACAGTTTTTAATTGAATTTGTTTAATTATTTGAAAAACATATTGCCCAAAAAAATGTATAAATGTAAATCCAATTTGAATTTTAAACCGTATTTACTAAATACGTTTTATGAAAACCCTAATTTTGATTTGAAATGTAAACCGTATTTCATTAATACGGTTTTTAATATTAATTAATTTTTAAGAAAAAATATAATTAAAATAAAACGTATAACGGAAATACGTTTTTTAATAGAATAAAAAATTAAAAACGTATTTGCGAAATACGGTTTTTAACAAAATATAAGTACGAAAAAAATCTTCTCCTCCACCACTCTGCGCGATCAAAACTGCACCTGCGAGAACAAAAAAAAAAATCACTTCCTTCCATTTTCTTCACCTCAAAATAAAAAACAAAAAAAAAGAAAAAAAGAAAAGACTTCTAAAAATCAATCGGAGAAGAGGTTAGTTGTTATTTTAATGTAATGTAATTACATTTTTTTGTTGTTTATGAATGTGTAAGAAATATTTGTTGGTTTTGATGAGTATAGTTTAGAAAAGATTTATTGTTGATTTAATAGTTGTGTTAAATGATTATACATTGTTCTTGGATGATGGGTTTCGGTGTATGTTGAGAATTTTTGCGAAAATTGGATGATTTATATTGTATAGTTGGATTTTGAGAATTAGGGTTTTGGAGAGTTATTTTATAAAAGAATTAGTGTTTTTTTATTTGTTATTGTAGTATTAGTTGAAAATATTTATCTTGATTTGAGTAAAAGAATAGTTGAATTTTTTGGGAAATTATGTGTTGTTGTAATTGGGAAGAATTGAAAGTGTATTATATGTTATTGATGAATTTTATTCTTTTGTTGTGGGAATGATAAAAGAATAATTGAATTTTTTGGGTGTTGGGTTAGAAAGTATGTGTTGTTGTAATTGGGAACAATTGTTTTTTGCAACAGGTATAAATGGCGTCTACCGGACCATACTTTGTTAATGTGTATTGGAATGTTGCGAAGGAGTTGTTATATGATTTTTCAGATTTTAAAAACTCTCCGGATGGTTCATTTAGCATTGGGGAGAAGCTATCATTTAAAGAATTGGTAGATATTCTTTATGAAAATTTTGGGTTTCATCAAGATGGTTGGATAATTGAGAAGATTAGTTTACTGAGTGACGAACGCGATGGTTCGTGGAATATTGGAAACCTGAATACTAATAGTGTTGTTGATTGGATATATAATTTTCCTCCTTTCTCCTATGTGTATTTGCATTTGGAGTTGAAGCAGTTTACGCAGGCACCTACAGACGTTACGCAGTTTGAGGATGTTGCCCCTTTTTACGGTGGAGTGGCTGATGTTGAGGGTACGTCCACTTCGCATGTTCGTAATTTTGGCGAAGGGACAAGCTCAACAGTTAGAGAATGCGATAATGAGGAAGAAAGTGATCATGATTTCATTCGCGGTGAAGACGATTTCACAGATGGTACCTCTGAAACAGAAACGGATAGATCAATAAACGAGGAGAGTGAACCAGAATTTATTGAAGAACACCCATTTCCTAGTAGCGGTAAGCACGTGTATCGCGAGACGGGTGAGTGGGACCCGGCGTGTGTAGACCGGGATGAGTATGCCTTGCCAACCTGTAATGGGAATGTCGAGACTATCCGTTTGGGTACTGTTTTTCGGTCCAAGGGAGAAGCACAGATTGGTATCATGAGTTGGAACGTTAGCAAGTTGAGGGAGGTTAAGACAACCTATTCGAATAAGAAATCATTCAAGGTGGTGTGCACGTCCAACGAAGATGAACCTTGTCCGTGGAGGTCTCGGGTGACGCACTGCACACGAGATCATGAACTGTGGAAAGTAACGGAATGGACTGCGAGGCACAGTTGTCTGCAAGAAGTCGAAAAAAATGACCACAGAAATGTAACCGCCACAATGATCTCAAATCTTGTCATGACCAAGATTCAAAAGAAGCCCGACTACAGTGTTAACCTGATCCAGGAGGATGTTAAAAAATGTTGGAAAGTCGATGTGAGCTACAAGAAGGCATGGCACGGGAGGAAAAAGGCCATCGATCGTTTGTATGGCACTTGGGAATCGAACTTCGCCGAACTCCCTCAGTAAGAAAAAATTTATTAAAAATGTACGTGTTATTTGTCACTATATTTATGTATTGACGATTACGTTTTGTAACGTGCAGGTTTTTTGCGGCGCTTCAAAGAGCGAATCCCACTACGGTTGTAGAATGGGAATGGCAAGGTGGGGAAATGGCGGCCTACTATCAGCACAGAGAATTCAAATTTGTTTTCTGGGCGTTTGGTCCCGCCATTCAGACCTTCCAGAGATGCCCGCCGGTAATTAGCATGGACGGCACACATTTGCGTGGCTCGTACAAGGGGAAGTTGCTCGTGGCCGTTGCACAGACTGCGAATAAGCGGCTATTGCCAATTGCCTATGCGATTGTCGATGAAGAGAGCCAGGAAAGCTGGTCATTTTTCCTGAAAAATCTCTGGCAACATGTTGTCGGCGACAGACAGATATGCTTTCTTTCGGACAGGGATGCGGGCTTACAGAGTGCCGTGGAATCATTGGAAGCTTGGCAAGAACCCGCTGCATATCACCGAATTTGTCTTCGACACCTTCAGAGCAACTTGGTTACTAGGTTCAGGGATAACAAAATCCGAAATTGGTGTTGGGAGTTGGGTTCACAGGTTTCAGAGAAAAAATTTGAACAGATACGATTGCGGCTTTTGGATTTTAATCCAGACGCATACGAGTACCTGTTCAGAATTCCTCTAGACAAGTGGACCTTGTTTGGAGACGGAGGACGTAGATGGGGTACTTTGACAACCAACATGTCCGAGAGTTACAACAACGTCCTGTAAGGTGTTAGGTTCTTGCCCTGCCGAGCTTTGGTACACGCCACATTCATGAAAACTCTGGACTTGTTTGAGCAGGAACAAAAGAAGTCCACGAGATGCAGTATTGCCATTGCTAGTGCCCACTATGCCGCTTATTGCAAATTGGAGGCTACGGCCGCAACTCATGAGGTGCGATGTTCGAACGCAGATAGATCCCTGTACAAGGTGATAACCGGTCTACGGGCTGATGGTAGAGGCGACAAAAGGTATACGGTTTATTTATTTATTGTATAATTATTATTATTATTATTATTTTGGTTCATTCAAATTTTTAGTTATTTATAAATATAATTAAATGTGGAAAAACAGGTATAAGGTTTCGTACAACCGGATGCGTTGTAGTTGTCAGAAGTGGCAGACACACAGGAAACCATGCTCTCATGCTATAGCTGTGTGTCTTCAAATAAAAGGTCAACCAAAATTATTGTACGATCCCCACTTTTGGACGGAGAACTGGGTGGCTCAATTTTCTAATTGGAGTTTTGCTCCGATTGGTGAGACACATGGCCGCTAGTCAGATGGAGCTTACTACCAAATTGGCAGAGGATCATCACGAAGGCTGGACCCGGTCGCGCCCAAACGAAGCGTCATTGCATGCAAATGGATCGTCGGGCACGCCGTCGGGCTGATAGAGGACAGTGTAGTAGATGTGGTAATCCACAGCATTTTGTGGATGACTGTCCGTCCTCGCATCCTCGCACTGATAGATCTAGAGTCCGTGATGAGTGGGGAAACTAGATTTGTTAGTGTTTATTTTTTTTTTTATGTTGGACTATTTATTTTATTGTTTACTTTGATTTGTTAGACTATGTTTGGATGATTTATTTTTGTTATGTTGGACTGCATATGAGTTTATTTGTTTATGTATTTTGGTGTAGTTGGTTGTTTTGAATATTTGTAACAGGTTTTAAATGCTGAAACAATTGAAATAACAAGTTTTTTTTTTCTTTTATAACAGCTTAAAACGTATTTAGCAAATACGTTTTTAAAATAATACATATTAGAAAACGTATTTGCTGAATACGTTTTCAGAGAATTCATATTTATTTAGAAACCGTATTCCCTGAATACGGTTTTAAAATAATTCGTATTAGAAAACGTATTTAGCAAATACGTTTCCTTAAGAATAAAAAAAATGGTAGGAGGATCCCAGATTCGGGACTCGAACCCGGGTGGGCGAGTCCGTTATCTCTGGATGCACCTCGTTACCATTGGGCCGCACTAGGCTATCGCTGAAAGTTTTGCACAACTTTTGTTGTTATCTTTCAACTTCAAAATTTTTTATAGTATATAATATCGTTAATATATTGTATATACATATATATTATAATTTGACATATAGTATATATCATATAGTAGATAATAGTATATATATTATATAGTATATATATTGTATATTATATACTATATAGTATATAATTGAGTTCGATTGTACAATTAAACTCAATTATAGTGAAATTGAACTCGAATTAGTACAATTAAACTCGATTATAGTGAAATCGAAGTCGATTTAGTACAATTAAACTCGAATTAGTACA